TCTTTTTTTTTTTTTATATACCTATATCTATATAGAGAGAGTGACAGACAGACAGACAGGGTCTCACTACAAAATTCAAGCTGGCCTTGAACCCACTGCAAGCCTCGTGTCTCAGCCTCACAAGTGCTGGGATTAGAGGCATGTGCCACCATGTCCAATGTTCAATGCATTTTTAAGTGACATTTGTCTTTTGTAATTATCTGAAAATACCTGCAGCATTTATTTAATTCACTGTTATATAGTGTTATATGAAATTTTTTTATTATTTCTTATTCCCATCTTATATCATTAAATGTAAGCTACACTTCAGTATCTTTAACAACTATTTCTTTTTGAGCCTTATAGGTACCTGGAAGAAGTACAAATTATTTTGTATGATAATAGTTTAATCTTATTAAATTAATATGAGTTACATTGGTCAAATAGGAACTATTGATATGATTGTTTTAATAAATATTTCAATTAACTTTATTTTATCTAAAGCAATTTGTAGAAGCTATTAGAAGGTCTTTCTCTTCAGGAGCAGGTGGATACAGAGAGGGACATAGTTAATGGTGTGCATCCCATGCTCCAGGCCCTGGAGAGAGCCCTGGCTCCAAAAAAAAAAAACTAATGGGGGAAGGGAAATAACCACGTAACTGAATTATAGAATAGTTAACCATTAGGCTTTCACAGGAAAAAAGCTTTTAATTCATTCGTGTTTTATAGGTAATTGGGAAATTGAAATTTGAAATGATCTGTTATGTAATAGTCACTGACCATTTTATCAAGTGATACAATATCAAGATTTAAGTTATCTTTTTCAAATGATGGCAGGACTTTGACCTTTTCAAAGTTCTTTGGTGGTGATACTGTGAAGGCAGCTCACACCCTTGACTTCTAGTCCATCTAGAAAGGTTATATAAGTCTGCTGGGTCCGCACAAACCTACTACGAGGCACACTAGAAACAGTGGTAAGAAAGCTATTAGCTCTTGCTCTTTATTTCAAAATCACTGATCATGTTCTAGCCATAATTTTCATCAACCAGAAAACATTTGTCTTTCCTTGAGTTCTTGTTTCCTATTAAATTTCAAAATTTACACTTTGGCTTCTATTTATCTCTCTCCCTCTCACCCCTTTCTTGCTTTCTTTGTTTTTTGGGGTTTTTTTGAGATAGCGTCTCACTATGTAGCCCAGGCTGCCTGGTCTCAAATTCTCTTTGTAGCTCAGGCTGGCTGCAAACTCAGTGATCCTCCTGCCTCAGTCTCCTGAGGGCTGGGATTACAGGCCACCGCCACTATGCCCGATTTCTTCATATAAAATATTTTCTTTTCTGTGTTTGCTTTTGATTTCCCTGCCTCTGATTATGAAGAAATCCCCAAAACCCTTGAAGTAATCCATCTGTGTTCTCCCTGCATTTAAACTCTAGTAAACAAAACATTTGGGCCCTATCTGTAATCTCCACAGCACAGAGCAAGTCTCTCCGAGAGCTGACCTTTGAACTGCAGTGATGCTCCCATCACACCACTTGTCACCTGCTCTCCAGTGCCCTGGGCATGCATTTCCCTGGGCGGCCCAGCAGCGCATCTGGGTTTATTTGCACCCCTCTGTCCTGAGTGGGTTGCTGTCTACCCTCCCACTGTGCCCATTCTGCGTCAGCATTTGCCTGGCCTTCTCTGCAGCTGAACAGAGGCTCTTCTGCAGAACCTCCTGCAGGAGGAGGAGTCCCTTCTCCCTGAAAGCAGTCGCAACCTCACAGCTTTGCGCTGGTTTCCCCATCTCTGTTCTCAGTGCTGGCCAGCCCTGGGCAGGCCAGGAGCAGCGTGGGCTGAAGTCTGAGCTTCTCTGCCTCCGTCCCTGAGTGACTCCTTTCCTATTGACCGCTGGCTTGGCAAATGGAGGGAAAGTCTTTCTCCCATAAAATGGGCAAATTCTGCCTTCTTACAATTTATGAAGATTAAGTGGATTTTTACATGGGAACCTTTTAATAAGCACTAAATGCCAAGCACTTGACGATAGCACTCTCTAAATTCAAGTTTTGTTAACGTATTCCTCAAACACCCAACTGCTCTTTTATGTTACATCGTCAATTAAACCTCCACGAGTGTTTAAAGTGTCGCAAGTCTCACCCCGCTTTCCTTCCCAGCACTCTTGTTAATCCAGTGCTCTTGTGCTGTGTGCTTTATTCCACTCCACAGCCCTTGTGCACATTTCCACTGCACTAATCCATCCTGTGACCCTGCCCTGCAGCCGCTCTGCACTTCTAACTTCTACACTTCCTCAGACTCCAGCTTGAGTCCCACTTCATCGTGAAGGTTCCTGAATCTCAGGGAGATTTCTCTCCACATAGCCCTACATTCTCCTTATTTTTCACAATTCAAAAGCCTCATGGATCTCTATTTTCTTCTATATGATATGCTTCTGCCTAGTTGAATCTTACACTTGAAATAAAAATTCATTCATTTTACAAAAAATCATTTTGCTGTATCTTAATCACTACCCAAAGGCCTTTCGCTACTGTACTTGTTTTGTGATCAGATCTCACTATGTAGCCCCAAATGGCCTCCAACTCATGAGGATCCTCCTCTTTCAGCCTTACAGTAAGGAAGACATGTTGTTGACACCTCAAAACTCTTACATTAACCTTCAGGAGCTTAGAGATACATTTTAAAGAATTTAAAATAAGCACTTGTACTCAAAGTCTATCCAAAAAGGGCCTATATGCACTCATTATGTTACATGAATAAATCAGGTGGTCCATACTGAGGTATTAAATCATTGATAATGTCTGAGAAGAGGTGTTAGTCTAAAATGGTATGCACTAAGAGAGTATTCGTTCAGAAGAATTTTTCAAAAGTGAAGTTACAATCTGCACGTTAGCATAGACAAGGAAATGTGCTCTCCCCTGCCGGAGATGCAGGTGGGCAGCAGAAATGACACAGGAAAGCAGCACAGATCCCCTCACAGCATGCACAAGGCCCTCTTACTACCAAGGGTCTGCTCTGTGGGTGGGAACAGAGGGAATCCCAAGGCCTCTGCCGGGAACCACGGGAATTCCATGGTCGGGAATGTGATTGCATTTATAACCCTAGGCATTTAATACAAATATGATGTATAACACTGTGTAGTATTTACATACACATATACTTCCTGTTAAACACACAAGGCTGAAGATCTGCAAGCTGTTAGCAATAGGAGAGTTAGGAAAGATAATGAGAAAACGTAGCGTGCAGCTCTGAGAATGGTTGCCTTCCATCCTTTGCCCTAGTTTCTAATAGGAAGACAATGGTTAAAACGCTACAGAGGACTTTAGCTTAGTCTTTTTAACTGAAGCAAGATCAGAAAGCAGTAACCACTTGTTCTAAGTGGTCAGTTTTGAAGTCAGTTCTTCATATCAGTTTGTCAGTTCAGTCAAAGCTTCAGTAGAATAAGATGGCACCTGCCCCTATTCCTGGGAAGACCTCGTGGTGAGAGCGCGAAAGGCCTTGGCCACAACGGAAGCGGAGCGCAAGTTACTGGTTCTCACCTCTCCCGCTCCTCCCGCTGCGCTTTCCCACAGCTGTCTGATCGCCAGACCCCCGACAAGGCCAAGAGCTGACGCCAGTGCTCAGATCTGGCATCTTTGGTGAGGACAGCGACACCCTTGTTCACAACAATACCTGTCCATCACCCCCCTTGTCTCTGGCAGTTTAATTTGTTTAACCCCTACCCAAAGTTCTGGAGCCGTCAGAATTTCCCATCCATAGCTTAGGTCATCAGAAGATCTACTTCCCCTTATTCTATCATTTAAAATTGGTAGTAGTACATGCTTGCGATACATAATGATCCCATTCATTGTGATGCATAATGATTCCACTCAGTAGCTGCATCATGACCTGCTCTGTTCAGAGATTCTTCACCGTGGGGCACTGGTGCACACATACATAATTTTCCACCCCCCTACTCCATGTCTTTGTCTCCTTCACATTTACAGAACACCTTTCTCCTGTTATTATCTGCCTTTCAATTTGCTCTGTAAATTTATGCTTTGGGTTTCTCAGATAAGCCATGTGATATTTAAGCTTGTCTGATGTGTCTCCTTTATTTCACCGAATATTCTCTCAATTGCAATTGCAGACATCTCAAGTTAGAATACACAAGGACAGGAAACAGTTTTGTGTAAATTTTGTCTGTTAAATCACTAATTTTTGCTAAAACTACAGTTAATTTGTTGATATATTTTGAGATATGTTCTACATATCATATTCCTGAAATCTTTTCCTAAAGTATTTTCTGGGTCAAATATAAACTTTGTGAATGGGCAGTATTTGTAAGATAATTGAATTATCACACATATAATAAATAGCAACTTTCCAGTGTATCAAAAGTCCCTGTTTCAATATTTGACTTATTCTCAATATTCATTGAGAATACTTGTATAGACACATACATACACATATTGCATAAGTATATGTACATACTCACACATACATACACACTACATGATTCTTCTTTCTCAGTATTAAACAAACACAGCAACTTTTATAGACACCATCTACAAAATATTCTTACTATTTCTCATTCAAAAGCATGTCAACATATTCGTTGGACATAATTTAAAACAATTATATCTACCAACCTACATGCCACATGTTGTTTTATTTATATTTGCTATTTGTATTTAGGACTGAAATGTGTTCATGTTAAATATACACTAGACTTTTAGTGTATATTTGGCCAGTTGTCATTAGAAGTGCAGCAATTCACGATTACTTGTGTGTTGAAGGCAAAAATACCACTCTAGGACACATATGGCAGGCACCAGCCAGGACGGAACCAGACAGGATTCAGACAGTCAGCAGCACTCCGCAGCCCACCTACCTTCCTGATGGTCTTCTCCACCAGCATGTCTCCCACAGGCATGAGGATCCCTCCGAGCACAGCCAGCACCGCGCCAATCACAGCCCCGGTGACGAGCCCGCAGTTCCGATTGCAGCCCATTTTCCCTCCGCAGCCCGAGTGCCCGTGTGCGTCAGACTCTGAGCTCCGAGTGAGGTGCTTTCTGTGTGGTCTGGTTCTACATTCACAACAAGATCATAAAACAGAAGTTGAAACAACGTCACAAAAAGATCAAAGTACAAAGATACATAAAACTGTAGTGGACCATTTTGCCAGCTATAAATACTTCTGTTTTACCAAACTGACTTTCTAGGTTCCTCTCCCATCTCTAGCTCCTACCTACCTACCAATACCAGAAATAGTGTCAGGGAGAGTATTTCTTCGGAAGTATGCTCTTTTGTCTCCATGTGCATGCACACTGAAGTCTTACAGAAGGAGAACCAGGTTTCTGGGCTTTCTCCCTCTATACCTTCCCTCTGCCTGGAATGAGTCCTTGCCTCTGTCTCCTATCTCGCATTCCATCCAAGCATAACCATCTCCACCCAGTCAGGGCTTCAGCACAGGGCAAGGGCCCTTGCTGGTGGCTTCTCTGCTCCAATGCTAAACAAGTACAGTAACGGAAAGGTTTCTCTTACTATACCTTATTCAGGAAGAACCAGCAAGGTACGGCACAGGCTTCACAAGAAATAAGTGAATGAATGTCAGGACGAATCAGTCCTTCTAATCACTTGCAAGCTACCTGAGGAAAACAGAAAGCATGAGTAAGTAGGGAAAATCCACTGTCTGAAAGTTAATACTAGGACATTGTCTAATATCAGTATAATCATAAACTGCTAGAAGAAAATTCCATTCTATACAAAGTTGATGGCTGAAATGTGTTATAAGCAGTACGGAAAACGCTGAGCTGAAGTGCATTTCATTTGTAAGTTATAAGTAAAGTGCATTTTACTTTTAATTTTATAGTCATGGGCTTTAAGGCCGACTAAGAGAAGAATTAAGAAAATGTATAATGCAGAAGGTGATTTGTTTTAATAGGTTTGCTTTTTCACTTGTTTTGATACATTATATATATATATATTTTGTTATACAGAATGATGAATGACTCAGGCCAATTTTATTTAAATGAACTAGTGTTTGGTTATATTTCACCTGGCTCATCTTACTTGTGCTACACCATTGTATAAGAGATGGTTATTACATAAATACTGAAAATACAATCTGCAATTTAGCTCTGAGCTAAATCCCCACCTGCCTGGCAAGTGCAATGTCATGAGTTCGATTCCTGGTACCAAAAGAAAAACAACAAACTATGAATGAATGGATCCTGAAGTAATAAAAGTAATATATCACATCAGCTCAATACTGAAACACATTCATTTGAGCTATGTTGATTCTAATGTCATTTTTTTAATGATGATGTTGACCTGTCACTGATACAGTAAGGACATGCTTCGTAGCTTGCAAACTAACGCTCTCTACTTCAGCATGCACATGGCCAACGGAAACATGCAGTGAATGTGACGCTGTAGACCAGGAAAATGCACCAAAAAACATAGCCAACTCAGTAAGGGAAACAGAAAATGATTGTCATGGCCTCAGGTTTTCTGTGGGCAGCTTTCTTGTAACAGAAGTCTTATTCCTATCATTTAATTACTATTTGTGCCTATTTGGGCAACCATTTCATTTTTTAGAACTATCACCAGCATGGCCAAGAACATAAAAGTAAGACTTCACCCTCAAATATGGAAACCTAAGGGGTACAAGTTCTCTCCTGGCAATTTTGCTATTTATTCTCTATGACTCCTCGGGGTTTCCTTTGACTTGCCCCCCATTACAATTAGGATATCCTGCGAATGAATCCACAGACTCATGCACACTGCAGCACTGATAAGGAGCTTGAGTAGTTCCCTTGTGTTGCACATTTGTTTACAAGTAAAAGGGAAACAAACACAAAAGTGATTTGTTTTCCCTGTGAATCTCCTCGTCTTACTGAGCGAGAGGAGCTGGCTTTTTATTAGCTGCCTGGGATGGAGTGGCACAATGACTCCCTGCTTCGATTCACGTAACACATTCCCTCCTGTGGCATTGGCTGGGGCTGTCAGAATCCAACAGAACAAGATTCTTAAGGCTGATAAGGACTGAATGTCAAATAGAACTTCCTTCGCCAAGTACGATAAAGTGCCTTAAACTTGTCTCCAAACAATCTTTTAAGCAACCGTAGTAATTGCTCAGTAGAAAATAATGTTCTGATTTGCTGTATGTTCTAAACCAATCATATCCGCAGGTTGCACTTTAGGTAGCAGTCAAAATAAAGGGGTGCCCATCTGGGGCAAGGGATCAGAGGTCAGGAGATGAGATGAAACCACGGACTGGCCACCCTCTGCAAGGAACAGGAAAAGCTCTGCGTTTCTCCATAGCTTGATTTCATGTGTGCAGTGAGAGCTAGGATGAGATCAGAGTGTCTGATACGAAACAGCTGAGCCAGCACTTCAATTCGTTCTTATACAGACCAGCAGTCACCTTGGATACGATTACATCATGGTGATGACAACCCGGAGATGCCCTGATTGGGTTCTACCCCTGCTTCAGGCTCTCCCTCGTCACCTACAGGAAGCTTTAGAAGCTTCGCAGAAAGGTACAGGAAATTCTGTGCCCGGGGCTAGTTTCCTAACTATAAAGTGAATCTGTGTAAGAACATATAGCTCAAATATTTAGTCCTCTGTTTTGGAAAGTTATTTGATGTCCTGTATAAATTTCAATGAGGTTTATGCAACCTTATCATTTCCAACCTTCACACATGGGATACAAAAGACTTAAAAATCACAATTATACTGATGAAATAGATATATGTGCATTTATTTGCCCATTTTTACCTTCCATGCCACAAGTTATTTGTGAATCTACCTGGCCTTTTATGGAAGCAGCATTCTTTGCTAAGTAGATCAGTGCACCCCAGACTTTCTGCAAGGGACTACTGTATCCTTAAGCTATATACTGCTACATACATTCACCTGAGACAGAAGAGGGCCAAACATTTTATGCCTGAGCACACAGATGTTCCGTGTACACAGTGCACTATGTTTAGCAGTTTTATATTCACCTTTCCATCATCGCCACTTTTGTGTCCATCTTGGTTTCCAGTTTTCCCTGACATTACGGTATTAAGGCACACACAATGTGGGTGTGACACACTCAGTTTTCTTAACACAGGGTCTTACCTATTAAAATAAGTGATTTTATTTGATAAATTTAGGTCAAATTTTACTTTGTGCTTGTTTGTGGTTCATAACAAACAGACCAGGTATTGATGACTGCAATACTTCCTGATTAAATCATTCCAATCTATAAGGCACAGGATAATTGTACCTACAGTAACCCAGTTAAACTGAGGTAGAAAAGAGAAAGTAAAAGGGCATCTTTTACAATTTCACTAATTACACGCCTGTCTTGATTTTATGGGTAGATCAGCTGCCCTGAAGCCAGTTTCTATAGTATTATAAAGGGATTGCTTTTGTAGAATTCCTTTCTAGTCCTTTGGGCTGACTTTGAGAGAAATATAGGCCTCTGTTTTCTATCGGATCAAAAGACAAGGGTTTCTATACTAAATTTCTGAATGAAGCTCCCTTCTTCACTGCATGGAGAAGCCACGATAGCTGAGCATCTACCTCTTTTGTAAAGCCTGAGGGCGGCTGAGCACATAGAACGCCAGCGCAGTCCCAAGAGAGTCTATTAATAATTCCCATCTCTGTTTAAAACTATGTTCCTTGGGAAACTCCACTCAGGAGACACAGCCCAAGGTAATGATTGCTGAGATATGAACTAGAAAATGAGAAAAAGTTCAGATTTCCAGGTCACTTATACCAAAATGAGTATCATGACCTGTATTGTTTTCACTGACCAGTGTTTAGCAACAATTTCCTGTTCTGTGTGTCCGCCTTCCTTCTGATTTTGCTTAGGCTAGAGAGCCAGACCACACACATCTGTTTCCACCATGCAAGTGGGATTCTTTGGATACAGACTCCTCACCTAAAAAACCACATCTTGTGCCAATAAAACCCCAGAGTTACCAGGGGTTTTTAATTCAACAGGTTAAGTTGGATATAGGAGTCAGTTTTTAAAATATATTAAATTCCTTTACATGGTGTGGCCTTACATCGTTTCTATGTGCGATTTCTGTGCCATGGGTCCCTAGACAGGAGTAAGACATATGTTCAAATGCAGGCTTGAAGGAATGGGCTTGAACCGGTCATTTAAGTCGTGTGATTCATCATGTGTGAACAGGGAGCTGGTAGGTCACTCTATGCACACTGTTTAGAGGCAGACTTCTTCCAACTTACATTCTGCACACTGTCTCCATGTGCAAAGACAGTTCCCCGAAGGCCTCTCCGACAGAAAAGGGGCAGGGCCAGCCTTACACTCAAGCAGCAGCAGAACGCCTTGTTCTCTGAGTCAGCCCCTGGGCCCCAAGATGATAGGAGGTCTCCATCATCTTGTCTTACCGTAGTTACCAATCCTTTGGCTTACTTGAGCATTTGTAACCTTTCTGGATATGTGTAATATAAGACCATGATACACTTCATGCAATTATAATTAAAGCTTGCTTTGGTGAAAATCTTAAAAATGCAATGAAGACCTAGCACTTCATATATTATACTTAAAATGAAGCCTGTCTTTGACAGAGTGACAAAGCAGGGGTTACCATGTGCTTCATGTAATTCTTTGGTTATATTCATTTAAATAGGATTATCTAGAACCATTTGAAATCATTGATGCCTAGATAGTAATGCTATTTTTTTCCCTTCCTTACCCAAAATTCTCAGTAATGGTTTATATATAATGGTGAAGATTGTGGGCCTGAAGTCAAAAAGTATGAGTTCACTTCTGGGCCTTCGTGTGGGAGTCCATGGGTCATTTTTCTGAGTTTATTACATCTCAAATGAGGTTGCAAGGGTTAAATCAAGTCATGTATGAAAACTCCCACCACAGAAATGTTATTTTGAAATGTTATCGATAGCATATCATGAAACTCTTAACAGCCAACTGCTGTTTCAAAAAAGTGTTATTTCTGCAAAATCAAATAAATGTGTACCTTTTACACAAATAGGAAGGACTATTCATAAAACAGTAAAATGCAATGATATATACAATACATACATATGCACACATATAAAACTAAAATATCAAGTGGAAAGATAGCATTATTTTAAAACAAGACCATTTGCAAGTTTTTACCCTAGCTTAGTCCACTGAACTAAAACATTTGTGATTAAATGAAAAAAATTACAGGAAATAGAAAGCAAAACACATAGGATTCAAATAAATCTGGATGAAAATGGCCAAAATTTTCACAAAATAACTTCTGAGATAAATTCCAAAACTTTCAGTACAGTCTGCACAAGTCCCCTCCCATTGTAATTTTAATATTTCTCCCGGAAATTTTAATGCTATCACATGCTTCTGTATTTGGTTAACTGTTCTGGTTCAGTATGACTGATAGATTAAAAGATTTCTACTTATTTTTTTCCTCTTGCAAACTCCAAAGGACCAATAGATTCTCTCCATAGGAATAATATTTGAAGATTTCACTTGGTTTTTTGCAGGCCAAGATACTTAAAGCAATATTTTCAACTTCACAAGACTTTCCTGACTTAAAACTATATAGTAAAGGATGTCTATGCCCTGAAAATCTGCACAAAATGTCTTCATGTATTACTTGGTAATTCCAGAAACTTTTCTATT